TGTGACCGTGGGCGAGTTCACGGAATCATAGAAAACGAGGGCCGGAAGGGACCTCAGGAGCTCATCTCCTCCAACCCCTTGCTCAAAGCAAAACCAGCCCCAATTATCTCACCCCAGCCAAGACTTTGTCTAGCTGGGCCTTAAAAACCTCCGAGGATGGAGATCACTGCCTGGGTAGCCTGTTCCAGTGTTTTACTACCCTCCCAGTGAGAGTTTTTCCTACTATCTAATTTACTTCCCTTGCTGCAACTTAAGACTGTTGCTCCTTTTTTCTGTCGCCTGCCACCACTGAAAACAGTTTGGCTCCGTCCTCTTTAGAACCAGCTTTCATGCTTTCAGGAGCCAGGTAGTTGAAGGCTGCTATTAAATCCCCCCTCATCTTCTCTAAATAAGCTCAGTTCCCTCAGCCTCTCCTAGGTCACATGCACCGACCCCTTAACCGTTTTATTGCCCTCCACTGGCTTCTCTCCAGCCATCACGATTTTACACTTGCTTACTCGTGTCCTCCTGACGACGCATTTGGCAGAACTTGCAGATACGTTGAACGCTGGCAGGGCCGTGCTACGAGTGCTTCTGCTGTAGCCTCCGACTTGCAACCGCAGAGCTGTCAACCGTGCACCGTAGCCCCCACACTATCCCAGCCCTTGGGACCAGAGTTATACCTCTTCTCTTGTCTTAGCTTTCTCTCCTCTGGCTTGTCTTGTGTACTTGCAATAAGTGCTTCAGGAGAGGATTACCTCTCGCTGTGTGTGTACAGTATCAAGGATAGCTGAAATCACAGTAATACAGGACTGGCAGGGGTTTCAGGGCACCTTTTCCGACCCCTGCACCATGGCAGGAGCAAGTATACCTAGACTGCCCTGGACAGATGTTTGTCTGCCCTCTAATACAGGTAATGCAGACAACAGGGAGGTGGCTGGATCCCTAAAGGCTTGTTTCCAGACTTCCAGATTGGGTCGACCCAGGCTGCACAGCTCCCTTGAGTCCATGTTACCCACATTTCTCCACCTTTCGTTCTAGCTCTCTACCCTGTTTAGGAATTACCAACACCACGTGCGCAAGCTGGTCTGTGAGGCTGGCCAGACGCCGAAGGCAAGGCTCCCCTCTGCAGGGTGTAAGGACACAGGGTGGAGAGAAGGCTTCTACCTGAGATCTCGATGGAGAGGGGAGGCTTTATCCGCTTGGAAACCTTGAGGAGCCTGCCTTTCAGTGGCTCATGCCTCTATGTCCATCCAGATTCCTGCACTCAGTCCCTCCAGACCTCAACTGCTTTTCCCATAGGGTGTCCTACACCTTCCTCCTTTCCTCAGAGCATCTCTACCTCACTGATGCCCTCCTGTACCCCCTAGTCCCAAATGTGTCCCGCTTCTGCTAGCCCCAGCCCTGACCCACCCACTGCTGCCTATGCTTCCCCTGCCCCACTTGCTCCCAACGCTGCTGAGTTTGCAGCAGCCCCAGTTCACGACTCTGCTTACATTGTGACGACTTTGGCTGTGGGAGCCCAAGAGCAGTTCCTCGCGTCTCTAATCCCCTCTCCCACCTCCCGTACTTGGAGGGCAAGACGCTTTGAAGATATGGGCCACCCCTCCACATGGAACAGCTGCTCCCGCTCCACGTACGCTGAATATCTATCCCAAGGCCTGGGCCTGATCGCGCTGGGGGCCGAGTCAAGAAGCCTTATTGATGTCAATGGAGGCCGAGGCTAGAACGGAGCACGTGCTTTCTTTGGGTCATTAACCTTCACGCCACTGGCACAAGTCCGGAGTGCCATTTGGCAGTGTGACCCATGGGGTAGGGTACTGGGACCCTTGGCCCATCCCTGCCATTGACTTAGGGGAGGGGGGCGTGACAATGGTCAGGTCACTTCAGCTCCCACATTGGCTTCTGCTCTGCACGCAAGCTGATGCGCGCGGCGCTGCATCGTTTGCAGCTGTAGAAGTGGCAAAACGCACGTCAGCGTGGAAAAAATGGCAGCGGTGTGCTCTTGAACTAAAACACCTTCTGTGTTTCCGTTCAAAAGCAGACTGCCATTTTCTGCGTGCAGACTCGCGTTTCGCCACTTCTACAATTGCAAGCGATGCAGCGCTGGGCACTTGTCAAAGCACCCGGTGCCGTGGCGCCTGCATATGTAAAAATGCCCTGTGATCAGACTGGTAGGAGCTTCTCTAGAGTGAGGGTTTCTGCTGCCCGTCTGACAGGCTCTAGCACAGGAAATGACCAGTTATCTAGTCACATCCTACGTGCTGTGGGAAGGAGGGATGTAGTGTTCAGATGCAACCAGACTGCATTTCTTCACCCCCATGGGGGTTGAGGGGAATTTTCTGACTTCCAGGGTTTTCCTAACTCTCAAATCCCTTTTGAGGAAGCATCTCTGTTCCACGCCTTTGTCCAAGCATAGGCAGACAGAGGCCAAACTCCCACAAAAGAAAGTAGCTCATACACTCCCTCCCCATGTTGCCCATGGCTGCTTTCAGCTAATATGAGGGATGTGTGACCTTTCTAACAAGTGTCAGGGGCCAACTTCTGTGGGCTTCATGCTTCTTCACAGCACGTGTCTCTAACTTAATGCTTGGTGTGACAGGCCTGGTCAGGATATGGGGTGCAGGCTTCCCATGGACACCAGGGAGAAGCAAGAGCATGGCACTAACCCATCCTCTCCCTCACGTTCCCTCTTTGCTGAAGAACATGGAGGGTCCCTTTCTGCCTGGCCTCCCAGGGCAGCTGTGGGGACAATGTCTGCGCTTGTCACCTGGAGCACAAGTTACCTGCCCCTTCTGGTAGTCAAAGCATGAGGCTTAACCACCGTCCCTTTGCCATAGGTGACTTTACCAAGGAAAAACTAAGCCTTTCCTCTCATCCTCTTCTTGGGACAGTTCACACCATAAGTTCAGAGTCCATTGGACTAGACTGGCCACCAGCCCGTCTCATCTACTGGTCCACATCCGTAGTGCCAAGGTGTCAGCCGGAGCCTAGGAATGAACATCCTTTGTACCTAACTCTGGCTAGCACTTGCCAAATCCTCTTTCAAGTGGCTCAGGAAGATCTCGCGACACCCCTGGATGCACAAAAAGGACAGCAGGGAGCAGGCAGGCTTTGGCTCAACGAGAGGGAGGCATGTACGAGCCACAAGAAGCGGAGGGGGAGAGTTCTCAGCCCCCAGGATTTGTCTGTGCTATGTATACCAGTTTAACACCTCCCCCAACCCCAAATGTAAGGGTTACAAGCTCCTAGCTGGGGTGAAGCACCTCTCTCCTGAGACTTCATTCCAGTGCGTTTAGGAGTGCTCAGCTGGTGTGAGCCACTGTTACATCCGCAGTGTTGACTTCTTGGATAGAAGAGTCGCCTTCCCCGAAAACAGTCTGCTCGTGCACAGTCAATACAGATATTCTTCCAAGCCCCTCTCGCAGAGCAACTCGATGGAACAGGGCTTCAGTGCTTGCCCTTCCCTGGCCCCTCGGTCTGAATGGCAAAAAAGGGGCATGAGGGTAATGAGACCATAGCCCAGAGGCAGGGTGGAGGGATGTGGGTACAGAGATGGCTCTTCACAGCCCACAGGCTAGAGCTCTCTTGCTGTGGCATCAGGTGAGAGGAAAGAGAAGGCAGGTACCAGTGAGGTTAAAAAAGTGATTTTTTTTTTTAATTTTTAAATTAATAAAAAACCTTCAACCTGTTGTTTTTTAAGCAAGATTCTGATTTGAAAACTTAAAAAAACAAAACAAAAACCACCCAGCCCCTCCCTGCTCCTTGGCTGAAAGGAGCACGTAGCTCTCCAGCTCCAGATCTGCAGCAGGGAGTGACGGCTGGGGTGTTCCATATACGCAGCACCCCTTCCAGCTCATGGCTCCATACTTGAACATTGTCTTTCCCAAGGAATGGGGCCTGTGCTGGAGGATGGAGAAGCCAAAACATTTCCAAAGGGGAGGGAGGAGGGACTTCTTCCTGGGGGTGACGGGCCTGGAGAAGCTGGATAGAATCCCAAGATAGTTTGGGGGTGGAGGGGGAAGGGGGTACATAGCAGGCTTGGATGAACTTCAAGAGAGGCCAAGGAGCAAGTGTCCAGGAAAACCAGAAACTCTCTCCCCTAACTTTGTTGGTCTGTAGTGGACTGGTCTACCTAGAACATCTCAGTCAAGCTGTGCTCAGGAGAGCACCTGCCTCCTCTCCAGCTCTGGAAGCAGATGCATGTTCCCAGGGTGCAGTGGCGACTGCCAAAAAGTAGCCCAACATGAGCCAGAGAAGATTAGTGAAGGGACAGGAGAGTGCAAAGAGGCATCTATACCAGATGTTCCTGGAGGGACAACGTACATGCTCTGGAGACAAATCAGGCCCATCACATCTCGTTTCCCGCTCATGGGTACCATTGCGACACAGGAGCAGCCTTGGGTTCAAGCAGCATGTTGCATCCCTGCTTGGACTTTCCCGTAGCAGCCAGGCTCCACCAGGTGCATCTTTCTCCCCCACTGCCACCACCCTTTACTGGAAAGGCCCACATCAGCCAAGCCACAATCTCAGATCCATTGCATCCAACTTTCCAGTGGCCAACACCATATCCCACCTGCCAGAGGTCCTCCCTGATGGGTAAGGAACCATACAGCAGCCAGGGGAGGGGGGAAAGGGGGCACAAAGGCAGTCTGAACCCCCTCCACCCTACCTGAAGGAGCACCTGGCACTCCAGCAAGGTCCTCTTCTCCCAAGCAGTATCATTACCCCACTGACTACTAGGAGGGGAGAGGGTGTCGCTCCCTACTAATTCTTGGCAAATCTCTCCATTGCTCTTATTCTCTCTGGATTTATATACATTAGATATATTTATATATTATAGTTATATATTAAAAAAGGGTGGGGGGAAGAAAAAAAGACCAGTTATTGACTCTGAATGAGAGAGCCACATGGGCTGGTGACCATCCCTGCAGGGTTACAAAAAAAAAAAAAAAAAAAAAAAAAAAAAAAAA